GAAACGTTTTTAAGGGGATAGCTCTGCCTTGAACGAATAGGGCTAACGTATTCTGAATCGACTGGATTCTCGACTCTGACAGCTTTGCAATCATAGTGCGTGAGTCCAGCACCATACCGAGGAATGTGATGGACTGGCACGGTTGAAGCGCGCTCTTCTGCATGTTCACAGACAGACCCAAACCTGTCAGGTGGGCGAGGAGTCTTTGTTTGTGTTCCCCCAGGATACTCTCCGACCGTGCGATGACTAACCAGTCGTCGAGATAGTTCAGAATGCGCATTTCACTGAGCTTCAGGGGAGCAAGCGCTGCATTCATGCACATTGTAAATACGCGGGGGGCCAGGGCCAGCCCGAACGGCAACACTTTGAACTGGTATGCCACACCATCGAATGCAAACCGAAGGAAGCGCCTGTGATGCGGGGCTATCTGAATGTGGAAGTAAGCATCCTTTAGATCCACTGCAATGAAGTAATCGTCGGGCTGAATTCGCGCGAGGATCTGCTTCACATATCATTTTGAACGCGCGATTCGCGAGCGCTTTGTTCAGTAATCTCAGATCCAAAACAGGGCGCATACCTCCGTCCTTCTTTGGTACTAGAAAATAAAGGCGCGCTTGTGAAGCGTTCTGTTGACCGGTCTCAGATCCAGAATGGGGCGGAGACCCCCTCCTTTCTTCGGTACAACTAAGTAGCGGCTGTAGAATCCGTCCTCCCACTCTTTCGGGGGAACCGGTTCTATAGCCTTTTTTTCGAGCAAGTTGCACACTTCTTGCCTCAGCACGTGAGCGTTTTGGGGCAAATTTAATGACTGAATTACGCCGCGGAAGCGAGGTGGTCTGCGTTTGAACTGAAGTGTGTATCCGCGCCGAATTATATTCAACACCCACGGCGAAATGCCCGGAATAGCTTCCCACGCTGCCTGAAAACGACTGAGTGTGGGCTGATCTAAACCTGCGGTCATCGCCGCTGCGGTCATCGCCGCTATGTGAGGGCTGGGAATATTTATTGACCGTGACTCTGCGCTGCTCGAAGGCAGGGCGGGTAACACAGTGTGTGGTGCAAGAGGAGAAAAAAGCTCTGTTTGTGAAGTAGTGATCTGCTTTATTTTTGAACAAGAAACAACGTTGACAACATTCACAAAACAACTGCACGCGTCGCTCGCAGAACGCCGAGGGACCAAGTGCATTAGAGCGCGCCGCTTGGACGCGGGGCCGACCTGGTGCGCTCTTCTCCTCTTGCCCGAGCGGTCAGGACGACTGCTTAGGCCTCGCAGGGGGCTTTCTGCGCGCGGCTGCGGCGGCGGCAGCGCCCTCCGAGGAATCACGTGGCTCATGGCTTTCGCTTTCTTCTGCGTCTCGGAGTAACGCTCCGTGACTTTCTCCACGGCGTCTCCGAACAGGCCTGCAGGGGAGATCGGTGCGTTCAGCAGCGTCTTCCTATCGGCCTCCTGTACGTCCGACAGGGTGAGCCACAGGTGTCTGTGGAGGACCACCAGGAACCCCATCAAACGGCCAATTGCTTGGGCCGAACGCTTCGTGGCCAGGAGCGTGAGGTCCGTGGCCGAACGGAGATCTCGGATGGCGTCAGCGTCGATAGAGGCGGCGTCATCCAGAGACTTGAGTTGCTTAGCCTGCAGCACTTGGAGAACGGCCATGGCATGCAACGCAGAAACCGCCTCCCCCGCGGCACCGTAGGCCTTGTTCGCTTGGTGGGCCGTAAATCTGCAGGCTCGGGACGGCAGGCTGCGATCCGAGCCCAGGGCGGGAGCCGACGGGCAGAGGTGCGCGGCGACGGTCTCCTCGACGGGGGGGATGCGGAGGTAGCCGTGGTCCCCCGCCTCGTCCACGGGGGCAAACATGGCTTGGGTGGAAGTGAGGGTGCGCGCCGATTGCGGGGCCACCCACGACTTTACCACGTGCTCATGCACGTCAGGAAAAAACGGTGTTCCTCTTTTCGAAGCAGCCTGACGGCGGCTCGATTGGAGGAACCACGTATCCAGTTTGCTCTTTAAAGGGTTCGTCGGGAGCCTTCCACGACAGGTCCAGTTCCTCGACGGCCTTCGAGAGGATACGGAAGAGCTCGTCCTGCAGGTCCGCCGGGGTCTCTTGCTCCGCGGCCGTCCGCGATGCGGCCCGCTCCGCACCCCAGTCGTTCTCGGAGGCAGACAGAGACATGGAGTCGTCTTCCTCACTCGCCCCGAAGGAAACGAAGTCAGCAACCTCGCGAGGGGGCTGAAAGGTGGGATCGGGAAAGCTCACCGGGGGACGAACCTCGACTCCGTCGTTGGGGGGGGCTACCAGCGGCTCAGTGGCGGCGGTAGGCCCGATCCCCGCTGCTGCGCGAGCCTCTTCTCTCCTGGCTTTGAGAGCTCGAAGAGACATGTCCGCGCAGTGGTCCATGAGGGCTGACTCGGCGTGGGCCAGCCCCATACACGCGACGCAGAACAGGTGCGTGTCGGGGGGCAAGATGTGGCCCGAGCACAAGTTGCAGTTAGTTGCCATCGGATGCAGGAGACAGTGCAAGTATCTCGGCGCAACTTCAACGACGGCGAAATAATCCAAGTTGTAGTGTAGTATCAGCTTTCTAGCACACGATTTGAGCGTGAAGAGAGAGATTCTGAAGGGAATTGACGCTGCACTTGCTTATTACTGCTACGAAGTTCAGTATTTGCATATTTGCGTCAATTGGCCAGCTCTGCTGGCGTTAGCCTATAAGATTTCAGCGGAAGTGAAGGATGAGAGGAGTTCCCATATACGACATCCGTAATGTCGAGTTCCGTAGCCTTGATAGGGAACTACAGCAGCACGGTTTGCAATGGAGCAGATGCTGCAGAAACTCGTTTTCTTTTTTTCTAAATAAAAAAGTTACACGTGCGGCAGCGTAAGAATAAACAATATAGCCAACTAATTTCTGTAATTGATTAGAGGTGACATGCAATACGAAATGACTGAAGTATTCTCTCTCTCTGTGCTAGGAATATAAACAGACCGACGTTTCCATTATTTGACCATTATTTGACTGTCAACCAATATTTTAAAATGGGGTTGTTGTTTTTTCGTGAATGTGATATTTCGTATGTCGCTCAGCAGCACAGACGAGTGAGTGGGAAACGAAGCAGGGCTATAGCTGACACAGAATCTCATAAACTTCGGTAAAATAAAAGAAGATAATGTAAAATGGTTAAATGTTTACGGTGCTTAAATAAAATGTAAGACGCAAGCTAAACGCCTTGGCCATTAAAAAAGCCTTTCGTTATGTCCCGCCCTGACTTCCTGTTACAAAAGGAACGTAAACACATCGAGTGAAACTGGATCGTCAAGCCTATTCAACGGTAGTTGATACATAAAATGTCCATGGAATTTGTACTATTTTTAGGTTAATGTTATAATGGGAAGCGTCTTCCAGCGACTATTATTTACTTACGTTTTTTTAAAAGGTTGAATCTACATTTAGCAAACTAAGACCAATCAAGTCAGTTTTCTGTCTGTTTCTGAGCAGGGAAAAAAGTTTCAATGATTTACAGATTGACTTTCTAAGTGAATTTATAAGTCAAATTCAGAATTATGAGTGATCGTGATCAATTCTGTTGTTATGTAAAGTAAGGAAATGTTTGCTTTTTAGACCGTTTTTGTTTTGGTTATTTAAAACAGTCGTTGAATTTGTGAACATCTTGACATTTCTGCTCTTCAGGCTGCTTTATGTTTGTGAGATGTGGTTTAACACCACATGGTGGCAGCATGTGGTCAATGTAGCAAAAGTAATTTGTTCAAAGAGTGGATAAAAAAAATTAAATAACTTTTCTTTTACAAAACTATTAAACATTGGACTCTCATGGTCATGGATAATAATATGCTTATATTTAGTCTTCCACCCCAAACCACCACAACAGCAAACTATGTTGTGTATGTATAAATAATGGAAAATGCTTCCTTAGGTAATGACTTTGATTCACAATTTGAGGTTAGCAACATTAATACAGATGAGGAAAACCATAATGATGAGATATTAGGTTTTGTTAGGGGAAAGGAAGATCTGGTCATTACTGAAATGAATGTAAGAAAGGAGCTTTATAAAGTTACATCAGGAAAGCATGTGGACCAGACAATATCCATGGATGCGTATTAAAAGTCTGTGCTTATCAATCAGCACCAGTTTTTACAACTATGTTTAATCTTTCTCTTAATCAGGGTGTTGTTCCCACAAGATTTAAGTCCTCAATTATCATCCCGGTCCCTAAAACCCCTTTTCCTGCTTCTGAACGATTATCGTCCTGTGGCACTCACTTCTATAGTGATGAAGTGCTTTGAAAAATTGCACTCTCTCCCTAGTGGTCTGGACCCTTTAGAGTTTGCAGATAGGCCTAATAGGTCTACAGATGACGCTATTAACTACATATTACACTCTGCTCTTTCACATCTGGATCAGAGGAAAGGGATCATGCTTTTCGTGGATTAGCTCTGCTTTTAACAGTGTTGTCCCCTTACACCTCTGCAAAAAGCTTCAAATTCTACAGGGCTATATTCCTCTATTTGTCACTGGATTTTTTATTTTTTGCACCCTTTTTTATCATCCTGGACACAGCCTATTGTCATTGCTCCCATCAGGGAAGCATTACTGGACCCTGAGAAGCAATACAGAGAGACTGAGATGAATTTTTTATCCTCAGGCAATCTGGCTATTGAATGAGGACACTTGATGAGTGAACTTTTAAGCTATGTATAAAAATACATACATTACATACACGGACATTATCATATACTGATTTTATTTTATATTCATATTTGTTATATATATATATATATATATATAAGTTAAAAATGAATAAATTATATATATATATATGTAATTTATTCGTTTTTAACTTGTTGGTATTGTTGCATTGTAGGCGATAACCTAGAGGAAAACCATTTCACTAAATTGCAACACATGACAAATAATGTGACATTGAACCTTGAACCTATGTTTGTTTGCTCCTCGAAACAAAGCTTGCATTGTTCTCTTTGTATCAGTGCATTCTGGACATTGCTTCATTGATTTCCCTTTGCTCCAGCTGGTACAGTGGCCACAGCTTTGATTTCTGCTCCTCTCTTAATAACAGCCAGTGCAATTGCGTTGTATGATTTATTATTTATTTTAATTTAAGGTAAGACTCCTAGTTTGGCTAATATGTCATTTGTACATGTGTCTTGTTATCTGTAGTGTATGTTATTTAATTAAAGGCTCATTGCTCAGTGCTATAATAACATTAGTACTAACCCTATTTAAAAGCAAACATTTTAAAAGAGTTCTTGAAATAATATGCTTTAAAATGATATGAATTAAATGCAATGTTTTCAGACACTTAATTGCATGTTATTTACAATTAAGTTAAAATGTATCGTAGTTGAAATTTATAATAAATCCAATCAGTTGAACTTAAGTACATCTTTATATGTAATTTCATTATTACTTCTGTTGTCTTAGTGTTAAACTGCGCCGAATGTACCGACAAATATTAATGGTAAACTAAAATATGCTTTATAAATTAGAAAACATAAATTTCTATGGAAACTTATGGAAATGTATTTGTAACTACACTTTTGAAATGATGAAATTCCAGTTTAGACACTTAAGCAATTCCAGTGCACACTTTTTTCACAAGGGACTATATTACTACCACTACCACTACTACTTCTTCTACTTATAACTCTTATTGAACAGAGGGGCCAAACTTTACAGCAACAAACAGGGAGAATGTGCTTTTAGGAAAAGAGAGAACATTGCTGTTTACAAAAAAAAAATTATATTAGGGTCAAAATGCAGTAACTGCACCAAAATGTTGTTGTTTTCAACACAGGTAAACATAGGTACTGAATATATAAAATATTCTGTAATTAAAAAAAAAAAAATCTTGTTGTTGTCCTTTTTTAGAGAATGTCAGAAAGAGAGGGACTCAGGGCAGACTCGACCCACTTCACTTTAGGGGGAGCACCATTTCTGATCCTGGGAGGCTCCATTCATTACTTCCGGGTCCACAGGGCACACTGGAGAGACCGGCTGCTGAAACTGAAGGCCTGTGGTCTCAATACTCTCACTACGTAAGACCATGACAGGGGTTCAAGGACAGTTTATTTGTCCTCTCAAAATCATCTTGAAGAGTCTTATTCGTTCTGTCTGTCAGGTATGTGCCATGGAATCTGCATGAACCTGAAAGAGGAGTTTATCTGTTTCAGGAGCAGCTGGATTTGGAGTAAGTGATGTTTCTTTTTCTTTTTTTGGGGTGGGGTTCCTATTTTATATCAAGTGTCTTTAACTACTGTCAACCTACATTTAGATTAATAGTTTGCTACAATGCACTTATTGTGCACAATATTTTTTTTCACATTGTACTTATATTTAATACCTGCATGTAATTACAGCTGTAATTAATAATCTATAATTGTACTGTTGATCCTTCCCTTACATCTTAACCCACCCTTAAACCTAACCATACCACCAAACCTGTACCCAACTGAACCCATCCCGAATCACTACCAGAATTTTTTTTTGGTTTTGTACCTAAGAATTTTTGTTTTGATGTAAGTACATAGGCTAGTAGTACTATAAAGTGTGACCTATAAGAACTTTAAGAACAAGAAGAAATTATTAGTGACAAAATTTGGCTTAGAGATGCTTGGAGGGTTGCCTGAGTTCTGAGTGGTTACTGTACCAAATCAGATATCTGATATTTTGATCCTCATGGATTACAAATTTAAATTTTTTCCCTGGGGTTTGAAAACTCTCACAGACATGTATGAGCAACAGTGATGCTTGCCTCAGCAATAAACATGTCATGTTCTGTTTTCACCAGTGTACTCATCAGTTTATCAAACTCTTGCTTGTTTAAAGGGAGTACATTCGTCTCGCAGGGGAATTAGGCCTCTGGGTGATTCTGCGTCCAGGGCCATATATATGTGCCGAGTGGGATCTGGGCGGTTTACCAAGGTTAGTGCATCACCTGTGTTATGAAAATAATAATTATTTGTGTGTGTGTGGTGAATGTGTGTTCATCTTTTCTTGTTTGCTTTTGTCTTTTGGTACTGTTCTCGTGCTTGTTAAAAATGACCGCATTTTTTATTTTATTTCAGTGAAATGATTGTATATATGTTTAGTTCGATAATATTTTTTATTTAATATTTTGTATTTTAAGGGGACTTTATGGTACTAAATTACAGTATATTTATGCAGTAGTTATAATCCATTTATTCACTTTTTGAGCATGGACCCGAACATTTTCAACTAAACAGTCATAAATCTTTAATGCTTTGGAGAACAGACTTAAGTTTGGTCTCTTTTTTAAAAAGAAGACTCTTGGCAGATTATTGCTGAAGTGAAAAAAGATTGAAATATGAAATATTTTATAAATATCATATTTGAAATATGTCATATATTTGTCAAACACACTTTACTTTTGTGTGTGTGTGTTCACACAGCAAGTGCCAAAACCTTTACCAAGTTCTGTATACCATTCCGATGAAGTTAAAACATTTCTAAAAAAAAATAATAATAATTTTTTTTTGAAAAATGATTAAAAAAAAGAACTGCACCAGAGGTTTAATATCACAGGTTTGTGTTAGTAATACTTTTTTTTATTTTTTTATTAGCTGGCTGCTGCAAGATAAGAAAATGAAACTAAGAACGACCTACTCTGGTTTCACAAGTGCTGTGAACTCGTACTTTGATAATCTGATTCCGAGAATTACACCCCTACAGGTGCCTTTTATTCCCTTTTTTTTTTTTGGTGAAAATTATTAAATAAATGTAATTGTTAATTATTGTATTGAAACTGCCTCCATTGCTCTCCAGTTTAAGAATGGAGGCCCTGTTATTGCTGTTCAAGTAGAGAATGAATATGGTTCATATGCGAAGGATGAGCAATACCTGTCGTTCATCAAAGAGGTATGGAATGAAATGAAATCATTATCTTTTACTCTGCAATATGTTAATCCATTTCTTTTATACATAGTTTGTTTTGAACTTCAACAGGCGCTACTGTCCCGGGGAATCTCTGAGTTTCTTATGACATCAGATAACCATGAAGGATTAAAATGTGGAAGGGTGGATGGAGGTAACGGTTATATATCCATTAATTAATTTAGTGTTCTCACTGCTTTTTAATAATGTGATATTTATAATCAATGCGATATTGGAATCATTTCATTTTGTTTACTCTACTGTTCATTAGTTTGGGGTGAGAGAGATTTGTAAAAGTAAAATGTTTTCTATTGTAATATATTTTAAAATGTGATTTATTCCTGTGATGCAAAGCTGAATTTTCAGCATCATTACTCCAGTCTTCAGTGTCACATGATCCTTCAGAAATGTGATTTGGTGCTCAAGAAACATTTCTAATTACTATCAATGTTGGAAACAGTTATGCTGCTTAATATTTCTGTGGAAACCCGTATTATTATTTATAAACTGTTACAAAAATCAATTTCAAATAAACTGTTCTATATACAATGTAAAAGAACTATTTTGAACAATTTAATGCATCCTTGCTGATAAATTTATTTAAAAAAAAGAAATCTTACTGACCCTCAACTTTCAACAGTGGTGTAGGCTAAGTAAAGTTCCTCTTCCACAGATTAAATTGAATTGTTCTCACTTCTTCTAAAAGTCTTGCAGACAGTGAACCTGCAGAGATTGTCAAATGGTGATGTACAGCATTTAGCAGAATTGCAGGTCAGTATTTTAGAATGTTTTCACATTTTGAATTGTATTCATCGATTTACTTTGTTAAAATGACCGTATCTGCATTTAAATCTGCTATAATTCTTACAGCCGAAGCAAAACCTCCTATACTTTATGAAGATGTTGCATGATAAAGAAATATGGCTTAATGAACAATGAAATACCTACAAATAGTACATGATTATATAAAATACTAAATTAGTTGTGCAGCAACAGGTTATAAAACTAACCCACAACATATAGGCAGCACAACAGAGATCTGAACATGTCTGAGAGCATTTTCTGTGCTGCAGCCGAAGAAGCCGCTGATGGTGATGGAGTATTGGTCCGGGTGGTTTGATGTCTGGGGAGAACCTCATCATGTTTTCACTGCGCAAGGTATAGGATCTGCCTCATCAAAGTGGGCATGTAGACATGGACACAGACGGTCTACCAAGGCAGAGGGAACAAACCACCTAGAATAAGCACTGCCTTTAAATCTGTATCTACTGTAAACTTACTTTTTTGTCTGCTTTTGTCTGTTATGACAGAAATGATCTCTGTAGTGCGAGAGCTTCTGGGTCGTGGCATCTCCATCAACTTTTACATGTTTCATGGAGGAACCAACTTTGGATTCATGAACGGCGCAGTTGACCTGGGCACCTACAAGCCACAGACGAGCAGCTACGGTTCTGTAGTTTTAATATTCATGACCACTGGGACAATTATAATGTACATTAAGTTAAGGGATAGTTCACCCAAAAATGAAAATTCTGTCATACTCATCCTCAAGTTGTTCCAAACTTGCGTAGTAGCATTTTTTTCCCATACTATGGAAGTCAATCTGGCCCATCAACAGTTTGGTTACTGACATTCTTCAAAAAAATCTTCTTTTGTGTTCGGCCGAAGAAAGAAATTCATACAGGTTTGGAAGAACTTGAGGATGAGTAAATTAGGGCTGTGAAACAATTAATCGCGATTTACATAATATATGTGTGACTGTGTATAATTATTTAGTATATAAATACACACACATGCATGTATATATTTAAGAAATATTTGCATGTATATACTGTATATATATATATATATTAGTGCTGTCAAACGATTAAAATATGTAATCGCGATTAATCGCATTAATGTCATAGTTAACTCGCGATAAATCGCAATTAATCGCACATTTTTATCTATTCTAAATGTCTCTTGATTAGTTTTTGTCCCATTCTTTTTTTTCATTTTAATGCTCTTATCAACATGGAAAAGTGGATCGGCTTGCTTTGTGCATGTGTTTTTTTATTGAAAACAACATTGGCATATACTGTGTTCAATTTCACACTAACATTCTCACTTGGAGCAAATAATCTCTCACACAATGTAACACTGTCCATCAATAAAAGGGTGAAAGAAATACTGACGAGGTCCTGATATTGACGAGGGGGCGGAGAATTCGCATCAGCTGTGTGTGTGTGCCTGGCCATCAATTGTAGCTCAGTTCACAACGACAAAAAATCCATTTGTCGTTGCAAAAGCATGTGAAAAAAACTACAAAGTTTTCTAGGCCAAAAAGACCGTTAATCGCGCACTGACAGCCCTAATATATATATATATATATATATATATAAATAACACCTTTTTTCTTAAATATATACATGCATGTGTGTGTATTTATATATACAAAATAATTATACACAGTCTACACACATATATTATGTAAACACAAACTTTTATTTTGAATGCGATTAATCACGATTAATCGTTTCACAGCCCTTGAGTAAATGATGACAACATTTTCATTTTCACTATCCCTTTAAAGCAGCAAAACTGTTTACAATGTTGATAATATTAGATAATATTAGAATGATTTCTGAGGGATCATGTGACACTGAAGACTTCAGTAATGATGCTGAAAATTCAGCTTTGCCATCACATTTTTAAAAATGGTAATATTTCGCAATATTTCTGTTTTTACTGTATTTTTGATCAAATAAATGTAGCCTTGGTGATTATAAGAGACTTCTTTCAAAAGTATAAAAAAAATCTTACTGTCCCCAAACTTTTAAAGGGTATTGTAACTGTGTTTTTAAAGTAATTGGCACTTAAACATTGTCTCTTTTAGATTATGATGCTCCATTGACTGAGAGTGGTGATTATACAACCAAGTATCATCTCTTGAGAAACCTGCTGAGCACCTACAACAGTACGTTTCTACACTGTGGGCCCTGAATACATAATCTGCTATTTTAAAAATGTATTTATGGAGCTGAATCTCTCCTTCTCTGCTTGTCTCTTAATCTCGGTCTGTCTCTATCTATGACAGAGGAGCCGATATCAGAGCCGCCAGCTGTGCAGAGCAGAAGAGCATATGAGCCAGTGGTTGTTTCTCATTACATTTCTCTATGGGAGAGTCTTCAGTGCGCAGAAACAGTACGAACAATGTATCATATCACACTATAATATTCTTTCTTTTACTTCTTTACTTCCCTTAAAGGAATAGTTTACCCCAAAAAATTAAATTCTGTCATCATTTACCCCATAGATATCCATAATAAAGGCTAGATGTCTCGTCCGCGCTGCTGGCCAATGGAGGTCGACGTCCGCACCTGGCGGCCATCTTGTCACAGGCAGCTCGCTCACTCGTAACATTGTGTTTTAATGGTGCATGTACTTTTTAAAAAACCATAACTTGCTCAATTTTCTACCGATTTTCAAACGGTTTGGTTCGTTATAAACGTCAGAGATGTAGTTATGACACTGCACACTTATGAATAATAAGTGTATAAATAAATAATCATCCAGAATTATAGCCATGTTAATAACGTTTGTAAGAAACCAAACCGTTTGTAAATCCGTCAAGATTTCAACGAGATGAGAGTATTTGTGTTCGTGCTGATCACTCATCTTACATCAGGTACCACAGAGCCCGCCAGAAAGCTTGCCTGTGACAAGATGGCCGCCGGTGATGACGACAGAGACTCCGCCATAAGACATCTAGCCTTTATTATGGATATCTATGATTTACCCACCCTCATGTCCCAAACCCACAAGACTTTCGTTCATCTTCGGAACACAAATGCATTTTTTAAATATCGTCTCATATTTTTGTCCCTCCATTGGAAATTCACATAACCAAAGCAATTTTCAAGCTTCAAAAGACATTGCAAACATAATCCATATGAATTAAGAAGTTTAAACCAAGTCTTTTGAAGAGACACTTTATATGATGAACAGATTCACATACACATTGATCAATGTACTATACTTACACAGAGCTCATCAAATATGTTAAACAGAAGCAAAACTGTGCTTAATTGGTACGTGAGCACAAACCTCATTGGTTTTTGCACATCAACCATGCACATTTGAGCAGTTGAGCTTCCATTTCATCAAAACAGACCCAGTTTACATCGTTTTAGGCCTACCATTAAATATACTGTTTCACTAGGAAATGTCATATTAGGAAAGAAAAGTGGTTTTGCATATGCTGTTTCATGTTGTAGGAAAAAAATAGAAAGAGGAGAACATATTTGGCAAGATATGTTCCCAAAAATGACTAAACACTATTTGTCCAATAGCATTTCCGAGCTGATGATCCTGTCAGCATGGAGAACCTTCCAGCAAACCACAACAATGGTCAGTCCTATGGGTACACACTCTATCAGACTGACATTTATTCAGGTGGAGAACTCAACTCAAGGAACCATGTTCATGACAGAGCTCTGGTAAGATCTTCATTTCAGGTTATAATAGATAACAATAACAAACAAATCAAATCAAAGAGAGAATTGAATTCGAATTAATTCTAATCTCTTTTGAAGGTGTTTATTGACAGAGAACTGATTGGTGTTTTCGACTATAGAACTCAGAAAGTTAAAATATCTCACAGTAAGGTAAATATGATGCAATGTTAGTATATTAAAAGTATTATTATTATAATTATAATACTATTATTATTATATTAGTATTATAAAATTAAAAAAAGATTTGAGCACTTTGAGCTCATTTTCCTTCTTTGACTTACAACAATCTTTTTCCTGAATGTATTAATCTTGCGCTAATTACATTTTTGCAGAGTGAGAGGACCTTGAGTTTGCTTGTTGAGAATTGTGGGCGAGTGAACTATGGTCCAGCCCTGGACAACCAGCACAAAGGTGTGATAAGATTGATAAAAAAAAATATTGACATTGTTTAGTTGTATGTCACACAGTACTGCAATAGATATGATAAGGGGTGTAGTGACCACAACATGCCATTCATTATTGTTTTCATCCATACAGGGCTTACTGGTGATATAACTCTGAACGATGTACCTCTAAAAAAGTTCTCCATGTGCTGTTTGGATATGAAAACCAGTTTCATAAACAGGTTAATTCTGAGTATTTGCTTCTGTATTGTGTCTTAACTGTATGGATCCTTGTTTCCGCCATGTAATAAAAAAAAAAACTTTTTATTTCATAATTCTGAGGTAAAAAATGTAATTATTTATAAATAAGAAATGATCAGGGTAAATAATCGTCACGTCTGCCAGCAGGAGGGCACTCCTTCCTAGTCGTTTGCCATTCCATCATGAACTACATTTCCCATAAACCTTTGCCTGGACTCATTATCGTGTATTACATCCACCAGTGTGTCATTAACCTGTTAATGTCTGTGTATATAAGCCCTGTGTTTTCTCTCACTCTTTGCGAAGTCTTGCTAGTGTCACTATACATTTCTGAGCGTTCTCTCTTGTTTCTCTTGTCATGGTTTATAGTTTGATCTCCTCCCCGTTTCCCTGGATTTCCCTGTTTGCCTGTGTCTTGGACTCTGTCATTTATCTGAGCCGCTTAGCGCGCTCATGCCTTTGCACGAATCTCACTGAAAACAATGAAAGAGTCCAAGTGAATCCAGAAATCCAGGTGAAATCCAGGAAAACGGGCAGAAGATCAAGAACATAAACCATAGCTGTGTTTCCACCGCAGGAGCTAGGGACTTTGGGGTGGTACTCCGTGTGTTTACACCGCAGGAACCAGGGTCTAAATGAAGTTCCGGGTAAATATTTCCCCTCCGAAAGTCCCTGCTCGCGAGGTAGTATTTTTTTTAAAGTTCAGGAACTTTCAGGGGTGGGACTTGGGCTCTGAACATGCTGATTGGTTGAGTTCATGCCGCATTTTGATTGGTTGACTCTACGCAGCATTTTATTTTAACCACCATTGTTTTTAAATTTGTTACGGTGTGTGCAGTAACAGCTGTTTGCTATTCGAAACAACAATGGAGTTTAAAAAATACGACCGATGGACTGACGACGAGGTTCGGGCTTTATTAAAGGTGCAGTGTGTGATTTTTAGCGACATCTAGCGGTTCGGTTGCGAGTTTGCACTAAGGGCTCAGCCCACTGCTCACCCCTCCCTTCCGAAGAAGCTACGGTGGCTAAAACGGGACAAACATATTGTCGTCTGGAGACAGCAGAGAATAGCCAGAGTAAGCCAAGAGTGTGTAACATTGTCACTGTTTCTGTACCACAGTCCATTATAAACCACATCATGGATAAAGTTTACAAAGCCATAGTCAGGTGAGGATCAAGGGTCTTAATATATAATATAATAATAGCAATCAGCTGATTGTCTCACAAACGTAACCAGCACATTTCTCCCCACATAGCAAACCCATAATACAGCTAGGGAGAAGAACCACATGAAACTATGCAACTATATATGTTTTCTAACAGGGTAGTAAAAGTTTAGCTGCATGGCTAAATATGAGCTGTTACTGTGGCTGAGCTGGTTAAAGCGTTAAGCCTTGTTTAAACTCGACGCGTCCGCATGAGCCCAAAGGTGCGCGCGGCAAAAATGACATGATTGTAACAGCGCGCGCGCCTCCGCATCCCCTAGACACCATTTACTACACACAATAGGCTTTTTTCTCTGATTTTGAAAACTCTTCGCGATCGACTTAAAATGCTTCCAAGATCGACTTGTCGACCGCGATCGACGATTGGTGATTCCTGTAACTGTTTTACGGTCAATGACAAGAGTACTAATCAGCTGTCTCACGAACGTAACCAGCACATTTATCCCCACATAGCAAAGCCATAACACAGCGAGGGAGAAGAACTAAGTTACATGAAACAGTGCAACTACATATTTTACACCACTGACAAGGGAAAAGTCACTACTCACGGTGTTTATGGCTAGCTTCTAGGTTTCTGCGGCTTCTCTTTCTAGGTAGTGACGAAACGCGCTCTGTAGCGCTGTTTGTTCGCGTTCGGCTACTGTAGAAACATGACGTCACAATATGTCGACCTTCATAGAAGGGGGTGCCCGCGGTTATGTAGATATAAATGTCTCATTCTAAGGTAATAAAAACATTACGGTTTATTAAGTAAGTTCTTTATACACCTCTGAAAACATAGTTATGGATGTCATATTGCATTTCTGTTAATAGATACTCAAAATTATTACACATTGCACCTTTAAGCTTAAATTCAGAGGATGAAATCCAGCGGGAACTGTAAAGTAGAGTGCAGTCGTACGTCACCGGACTAATTTGCCTAATCTTCACGGTACTTTCGATCGTGGTGGAAACGCAGACAGCAACAGGTCTGGGGGGGGGAAATTCTTGGGAAAAAAGTTCCCGGGACAAATTGTTCCGGGTAATTTCGGAGGAAACGCGGCTCATGACAAGGGAAACAAGAGAGAGCGCTCAGAAATGCAGTCTGACATTAGTAAGACTTTGCAAAGAGTGAGAGAAAACACAGGGCTTATATACACAGACATTAATCATAGGTCGAAACTGAATCTCTCAATTTTTATTAGACTGCAGTCACTGAAATGGATGTCTGTCGGTCAGAAGCCCACCTACCCTGCGTTTTTCAGGGGAACCCTGGTAGTGGATCAGCCCACAGATACTTTTGTGAAGCTGCCGGTGAGTCTACAGTTTCATTTCACTTTCTACACATTTACTTTTATCCTTGACTGACATGTTTCCTCACAGCCTTAGAACATAGAAGACACCACAAATCATGTTGTTCTTTACTGTCGGCAGAATTGGAGTAAAGGAGTGGTTTTTGTGAACGGGCAAAATCTTGGACGCAACTGGTCGGTTGGTCCTCAGAAAGCCCTCTATCTTCCCGGTCCCTGGCTCAAGAGTGGAGATAATGAGGTGACTGGCTATGTGTGTAAATATGTAGGCAAATATCACTGTGGTGAAGTATAGCAAAAGCCATAAACTGGTTCAAGAAAATGTATTGTGCATGCAGCAATAATAAAATATTTAAATCTATGAAATGTAATACATGTCAATCTTTTCTATCTTTTTCTATCTTCAGATTGTTGTTTTTGAGGAACTCAAAGCTGCGGAAACAATCAATTTTGCTGAAAATCCAGAATATAGCAAGACAGTCGAAGTATCTACACAACTGTTTTGCACCCTTCTTTGAAACACACCTGCAGTTTTACAACGTATCTCTTGCTAACATCCATCAAAACAGCAGATCTGAACATAAATTACTTGAGGCAAGACAAAAGAGTGAACATTTTGTAATAGTACATCACTTCCCCTTTTGCTTTATTCCGGTGTATTGAGAAAATTGTTTTGCATTGCAAGTTTTCTGAAATGTTATGTTTAAATATGTGAATGATGCATTATCTAATTATGTGCTAATTTGCATACATTTCCTGAGCAGAAATCTAAACATTGGATAAAACCAGGTTTAAAGTTCTTGTTTTATTTTGTTGCCATATTAGAGTTGAAGAATTTTGGATGTCTCTTTTTATCACTCCATACATCAGAAAATACTGTCAACATCCAGAAAGCCACAAAAAAATCACCATGTGTTTTAGGAATAAAATGTATAAATTAAGCGAATGTTAAATGAACAAATCCCTCTGTAAAAACTTTCAGAAGCATTTGGTGTATGTAAGTGCTACTGATGTGAGGAAAACAGCCTTTAATGATATGTATTGTAATTGAAATCTACAGATGCAAATACTAAAGTGTAATAAAACAAACACTTTATATTCTTACTACTAACCTTGATATTCCTTGTGCACTAGCTGTAATCACTGATCATACACATAACATAAGCACAAAATACATTTTACATACATTGCAACATAATTTTCTAAACACAATAGCATGCTAAACTTAATATACCATAATAACAACCTCATTTCAGACTACCAAATATTTGTATTGATGAGGTAAACTAGGTTTGCTGACATTTCAGAAGTTTCCAAAAAATAAATAAAAAAAAGATTCTGGAAGAGCGTTTTGTTTTATGTTTGATTATTACAGATACGTACGAATGTGTAACCTGCAGGACATAAAGGTGATGCTCCTGTCAAAAGTTCAGAAGTTCTTTTGTTCAAACACTTTTAGAGTAAAGTGCATTTCAATGTCTTACGGTGTCACCTGCATTGTGATACATTTAAATACATTACAAATTACATGTTATGCCTGCGTAATTACAACAAAACACACTTAAGTAATAAAATAATAAACAAAACAACCAATTAATAACACCAGCCACGAGTTTCCTGGTGGTTGTACAGATCTACAATGACGGAGATACGTTTCAGCCTTCTATTGGATGACTGCGCTGTCAATCATGTTACGGCACAGACTGCTATTCTCAAACGAATTAACGTAGAGCGCTGAATGGGCCAAGCAGAGGCAATTACTCAAACAGCGGAGCAGTTGTCCCGCCTATTGCGTACCTCTCTCTCACTCGGTCCATTCAGCGCGTTCATCGGCTTCAGCAACAGCTGCAGAAGTGGAGGAAGAGCTGGCACTCAGGTACAGTGTTGTTTAACCTTAACAAGGCCTTGTCAAGATCAGACATGACAGCGTGCTGAATCTAATGACCATAATTTCGCCCTTTGTCCAGTTACTGCAGGGTAAAAGTCAATTTCGTAGCCCACGACATTGTAAGCGGCTTGTTGTTCTTTCATTTGTTTTGCAGGGCAGGTCTCTAACTGGCAGGTGGACATTAGGTCGTAAACCACCAACCAATCCACTCTAGCGATGGACATTTCCGTGGTTTTGGGCTGCTCTCTGAGTGTTGCCCTTGGGGGTGTGATTCTAGTATCTTATAAACTGGGCTTACTTTACCAGATATTCCATAAGGTATGAACAAACAATCTATCTATCTATCTATCTATCTATCTATCTATCTATCTATCTATCTATCTATCTATCTATCTATCTATCTATCTATCTATCTATCTATCTATCTATCTGTCTGTCTGTCTGTCTGTCTATCTAAACTGTCTGTCTATCTATCTAAACTGTCTGTCTGTCTGTCTGTCAAGAATATTTTAATAACCTGAATAACCTTTTACCACTATATAGAAACTTTTATGCAATAGAACGTTTCCATGGATGATAAAGGTTCTTCATGGAACCATCAGTGATAATAAAGAACCTTTTATTTTTAAGCGTGTAAAGAGATATTTTATATGCATGTTATAGATGTTATTGTGAATTTGGGCATATGTTTCTTTTTGACCTCATAATGTTTAATCAAAATTATAACTGGATCTTCCAGTGAAAATGACAGAATACTCTCTGGCGACGTATGCAGGACTTCTCCAATCATTTAGTCTGTTTAAACTCCGCCCCTGCAATCTTGCGTTCATCTGCCTTCATTTTTGAATGCAACGCCCACATCTCAACATCCAATCAACAAACCTTGCACAGAACCTAGTGTCCGCCTTAAATTTTTGCGAGTTTCTATACTGGTAATCCATTACATAATTTCTATTCAGAAAAGAACTGACTACTTTTATTGTTCATCATTCTAAGACAGAGAGACAGAGCCCTCGACATGGAGGAGAGAGTGTGGCAGAGGTTTTGCGGGCTCATGGGATCAAATTCGTCTTCACATTGGTGGGAGGACACATCTCGCCCATCCTGGTGGCCTGTGAGAAACTGGGCATCCGCATCGTCGACACCCGCCATGAGGCCACAGCTGTGTTTGCTGCCGATGCCGTTGCAAGACTTTCTGGTAAGACTGCTCATAAACAAAAGCGGACAGATCACATCTTGTTAGAAGCTGAAAATCTTCTGTTTTGCTGTTTAGGCACTGTCGGTGTGGCTGCGGTGACGGCGGGGCCGGGGCTGACGAACACAGTGACTGCGGTGAAGAATGCTCAGATGGCTGAATCACCGCTGCTTCTGATTGGTGGTGCTGCTGCTACTCTCCTGCAGGTCAGGAAGTGCCTTATAGAATATGAGTCACGTACACGCACATGTCACCTGCGTATTTGCTCTTTGCTCTGGCTGGCTCTGGTTATCTTTTCTTCATATTTCTTTCTGTGTCTTGTTTAAACATTAGATATTATCTCTACCCAGGGGTGATTCTCAGGGAACTAGCCATGACCCATGACAGTGAGGATTTGGTTATAAAAATCGTTAAAGGGAAAGTCACCCAGAAATGACAATTCTGCCATCATTTCCATACCCTCATGTCAGTCCATACCTGTATGACAAAGGTGTTCAATCTGGGTCCTGGAGGGCCACTATCCTGAGTTTAGTTGCAACCCTAATCAAACACACCTGAATCAGCTCATCAAACTCTATAGTATTGCTTGAATAAGGCAGGTGTGCTGAAGCAGGTTGGAACTAAACTCTGCAGGACAGTGGCCCTCCAGGAGCACGATTGAAGACCTCTGCTGTATGACAAACAAGTTTGATTACCATTGACTTCCATTTTAGTCTGCCGCTTTAAATGCTCAAACTCTTTAAGGGTGGGTGGATTCTGATTGGCTGTCAATGTTTTTATCATTCATCAGCTGGAATTTTTTTTTCTAAAAGTGATTCCAATAATATTGTTCCTCTGCGTAGTTATAGTTGTGGTGTGGACCTACCTCAACTCATAGAATTAGAATGATTATTAAAATGTAAATACATTATAAGTTTCCTAAAACTTAACACTATAGTTATTGTTCTTGATGTGAACTAGCTGTTGCACAGACTAGTCAACTTTAATACTCTGCCATGATGTTTTAAGCTTGACTTCGACTAGTCGCTGATCATTCATGGCCTAAGGATAAGAAATCTTTGAAGTCCACTTTTACACTCCGTTTCCAACAGTTAAAATGACAAATAAATGCATACTCCGAGAGCGCTCCACAAGATATGTTTGATTATACCATCTGGATGCTCAAAATTGATTGAGAATCACTGATCGTGAATGCACATTTTAAACAGCTGATTGTACACGTTAGTTAATCACCGTTCTAAACTAATGCGCTGCTGCATTGTAATGCGCACACATCACGCGCAGATCACGCACACAGAATCGTTCAGTTGCGCAGAAAGATATTGTCAAAACTGTTCTGTGATTTATCAATAAAATAGCTTGGAAACTGAAAAGTTCTAGCATATATTTCTTAGTAACTAAAACCCACAGCTTCACTGTTAGCAGAGAGACGCTGCCAGGTGCAATTCACACACAATCGCTTTCTCTCACAGTAATACATTCATATAAATGTAATCTTTACTGTGCTACTTTATCTATATCTGATTTAGAATGAGCAGAAATCTGTGAGAATGAGAAATATTATGAGATGTGAGATGCCATAGCTGTGCACAAGGCAAACAGCGTTCGAGTCTCAGCTCGAGGTTCAGGCTTAATTAATGATGTCATCAGCGACTAGTCGACGTCGAGTCGACTTTAATCGCATAATAAATGTCAACTTAAACAAATCTGAAGTCGTCCCCTAGTGTAAACAAGGTTTTTTTCAGAGAAATAAGTGTTGGGTGTCATTTGCATCATAGTCTTTATTCTTTGTCATTAATATAATGTGTGACCGTTTCATTACAGGGTAGAGGTGCGCTACAGGATATTGACCAAATGTCCCTCTTCAAGCCTCTCTGTAAGTTCTGTGCGTCAGTGAGGACTGTGAGAGAAATTGTTCCCACTGTGAGAAAAGCCTTGGCCGCCGCACAGTCTGGCACACCAGGTACAGCGGCGCTGAAATGTTCCCATCCTTGTAATCTTGTCTCCTTTTGCTGAAATTCACTGTACTGACAGTGAAATACCAGTCACATGATTTGTGCAAATCTGAGGAGTTTTTTGTGGGGTGGGTCGGGTGGCTTTATATGAACATATCTCTGAGGGGAACTGACTCTTCAGAGAAGTTAATTAGTGGCTAATAAAGTAGTTTATAAGCGTAGCGCTGCTTTGTGTATGGGGTAACCGGGGTAACTGCTGCATTTCTGCTTTTGATATAACTGTAAATTTGCATTTTCATTTAGCCCGTCGGCCACTTTTGTTTAGACCAATGCAATTTAAAAAAAAATTATATAATGTATATATAAAAAAATATATAATCATTTATTATTTTGACTTCTCTCTTTTGTCTTTTTAAACAGTAGTTTATTGGCTGAAATATAAGGTTTAACACTGTATAAAACCTTTTTAAAAAAGAAAGTTTTTGTCAACTTGTATATTTGAACTGTAAAGTCATTTTTACCATCATTTTACAGTTTAGGATTTTTCCATAGACATTGGAATTGTTTCAAAACTACATAGCTACCTAAATGTGTAGTTCTATTCTAATGTCAGAATTTGCTGTAACGATTCTACTGGTGAATCCAATTCTCTCATTTTATTTAAAGCAAACTGAATTCCATTCTTAAATTATTTAATTATATGTAACTGAGCCCTGTTTGTAATTCTGTGAGTGTAATTCTATTTATTTGATTTCTTTGACAGGCCCAGTGTTTATAGAGTTCCCCATAGACACACTGTAC